GGACCACTTCTTCAATTAACTTCAAAAAGAGTATTCTCCCAATATCAATAGCAAAAACGGTATTCAAGGTGAATTCCCTTTAAGAATCAAGGACAAGGGACCCCTGGATGGCTCAGTGGTTTAGTACTTGCCTTTGGCTCAGGGTGTGATCCTGGAGTCCATGGTTTGAGTCCTGCATTGGGCTCTCTTTGGGGAGCCTGCTTCTCCCTCTGCCCGTGTCTCTGCTTCTCTCTGTGTGTCTCTCATGAATCAATAAATAAAATCTTAAAAAAAAGATTTATGACTATTACTATGATATGACCACTCCTATACAGTGAGGCAAGATAAGAAAAAGAAATTGGGCAGCCAATTTCTCTCTCTCTCTCTCTCTGTCTCTCGTGAATAAATAAATAAAATCTTTAAAAAAAAAGAAATGTTTCAATTCTCTGAATGGAAGAAACAAAATCTGTCCATAATCAATACACTGACCCAGGTAGAAAACACAAAAGAATCCTCAGATAATGTCTTAATAAGGAAGACATCTCGGCAAGTTCACTGAATCAATACTCAAAAACAAATTACATTTCTGTACATAAGTGACAAAGATGTATAATTACTATAACAACAAATATAAGAGACCCAGGAATCAACCTAATGAAAGATTTGTGAGACTTCTGAGAAAAGTATAAAATTGTGTTGTATTGGAAGAGATTGAAGATCCAAATAAGTTTTTGAAATACCATATTCATAGAGTAAGACACTCAGTATAACTATCTTAGTTCTCCTCCAGTGGATATATAGATTCAACACAAGTCCATTAAAACCTCAACAGAAGGGCAGCCCTGGTGGTGCAGCAGTTTAGTGCCACCTGCAGCTTGGGGTGTGATGCTGGGGACCCTGGATTGAGTCCCACGTCGGGTTCCCTGCATGGAGTCTGTTTCTCCCTCTGCCTGTGTCTCTGCCTCTCTCTCTCTCTCTCTCTCTCTCTCTGTGTGTGTGTGTGTGTCTCTATGAATAAATAAATAAAATCTTTAAAAAAAAACTCAACAGAACATTTCATAGAACTTGATACATTGTTCCTAAAATGCATATGAAAACAAAGGGCCAGGAATAGGCATTGGCAGGCACCACTGCAGGAGGAAAGGTAGGAGACTCGCACTACCAGATATCTGGGCTTTTTACAAGTGTTTATGATCCAAAGGATAGACCTAATAGGACAGAATGGAAAGCCCAGAATAGACCTTACACGTATGGAAACTTAATTATTGTAGACACATACTGCTGCTCAGTGGGAAAAGCAAAAAAAAAAAAAAAAGAAAAAAACCCAGAACATATGGTTATCCCTACCTCACACCATACCAGGGAATAACTTCCAGGGCATGTTTGAATGTAACATACAACACATGAGAAGGATTGTAAAAATAATCCTTGAGGATTAGAAGAAAAATATAAGGGCAGCCTGGGTGGCTCAGCGGTTTAGCACCGACTTCAGCCCAGGGTGTGATCCTGGAGTCCTGGGATTGAGTCCCACGTCAGGCTCCCTGCATGGAGTCTGCTTCTCCCTCTGCCTGTGCCTCTACCTCTCTCTGTGTCTCTCATGAATAAATAAATAAAATCTTTAAAAAAAAGATGCAAAAAGCCATAATCATGAAGAAAAACATGGATGACTGTGATGACATTAAAACCCATAGTTTCTGTTCATCAAAGACATAACAAAGAAAGTGAGAAAGACAAGTCAAAAACTTGAATAAGATATTTGCCAGCCACCAATGGCAAAATACACAAAGATTATACAAGTATATAAAGAGCTCCTACAAGTCAATAAAAAGAAAACAAAACATCCCCCCCCAAAAAAAGGCCAAAGAACACATAAAAGCATTTTATTTTCTTTTAAAAGATTTATTTATTTATTTGAGAGGGAGAGAGAAAGTAAGTGTATGGGTTGGGGGAGACAGAGGGAGAGGATTCTCAAACAGACTCCCTGCTGAGCCAGAGGCTCCATCCCAGGACCCTGAGATCATGACCTCAACCAAAATCAAGAGTCAGATGCTTAACTGACTGAGCTACTCAGGTGCCCCAAGAACACAAACAGGCATTTAATAGAAAAGGAAACTTGAGGGTACAATACACATAATGAAACTTGTCCCACTTTCCCAGTAATCAGGAGAGTAAAAATGAAAACCATCATGAAATACCATTTAACCCTCAGTCCATTGGCAAAAAAAAAAAAGGAAAAGAAAAAAAATTCCAAAGGTCTTTTTTTCCCCTTTAGGTTTTATTTAAGAGGGAAACAGAGATAGAGATAGAAGCACGAATGGGGCCCGATCCCAGGATCCTGGGGCCATAACTTGAGCTGAAGGCAGATGCTTAACCCACTGAGCCACACAGGTGCCCCAGCCACAGCTTGTTAATACTAAGTGTTGGCAAGGATGTGGAACGTGGAGCATGCCCATGCAACACAGGTGGGAATGTAAATTGGTTCACTCGGCAGAATTTTGTGAGTAGAACATTTGCTTCCCTGTGACCTAATAATTCCACTTTCAGGGGTCTATAGCAGAGGAACGCTTGCACAGGTGCACAACACGCCTTGTAAGAAAGATGTTTGTTAAAGCATTGTAATGGTGAAAAGTTGGAAAGGATCCAGATACTTATTGTTAGGAGGATGGGTAGGTAATTAAATTGCATAATCACACAATAGACTGATAAACGGCCTTTAAAATGAATTAAATAATGTAGGCATTAATATGGATGAATTTTAGAAATGAAAGGTTGTGGGAGAAAACAAGTCAGAGAATAAAACATGTATTTTAGGACTATTTTTATAATGTTCAAATCCAAGCAAAACTATACTAGAAGTTCATAGGTACATGATAGAATTATAAAGCAAAGCAGAGAAACTCAGGATCGGTGTTATTGATTAGCCTGGATTGGCTAATCGATATAAAGAGAATGGCTCATATATGAAAAGTTGACAGATTTTCATAGTTGTCTTTAGACCTAAGAATAGAGGGGTCTTTAATGTCTCTCACAGGATATGAAGATGAGAGTAGGGGCTGGGGTGATGGGTGTGTGTGTGTGTGTGTGTGTGTGTGTGTGTGTCTGAACATGTGAGCCAACCTTGCCTGCCTCCCTGACCGTGAATGCTTCTCCCTGCCATCTAGGGCCATTTAAATGGACTTAAATGCCCCTCCATTCAAGTGGGGGCTGGTTCTGTGACTTGCTTTGACCAACAATGCAGTGAAGGAATGATCTGGAACTTTGGATTCCAGGTCTTTAGAGGCCTCTGGCTTCCTCTCGCTTGGAGCTCAGCTGCCAAGCTCTAAGGAAGGCCGGGGTATTGATTGGAGGCCATGCTGAGTGAGGCCAGGGAGGGGAGGGGCACCTTGGACGGGGAGCCTAGCCAGGCTCCCAGCTGAGTGCGCTCCAGAGAGCTGGCCAAGCTCCGCCATCCCTGGGAACCAGGAAAAATGGTGAACTGCTGCGTTAGGCCGTTAAATGCTGGGGTGGTTCGTTAGCAGCACAGGGAGAGATGCACGCAGGAAATCGGCGATACTGGCCGCCTTGTTTCATGAGTTAGTTGGCTGGTGCGTCTCCAGATACACACTGGTCACGATGCTTCCTCGCATACCTGCGATTTATGTACAGCATTTTGTATGGAGCAAATGCTTCAGTGTAAAACATCTAATAAAAACAAAACCCTGAAAAAAAAAAAAAACCAAAACCCTGTCCTGCAAAAATGCAGCTTCCCAATTTTGTTTTGCAATTTCTGTGTAACTGCAACTAAACATCTTTTCACGTTTAAGCAATGCTCCACTCGTATTTCCCTCACTGTGCACGGCCTGCTCATAGTCTTTTGTCTAGCTACGTACTGGCTTGGCCATGCGTGGTTCATGATTTATAGGAATGTTGCATATTGAGGAAGAGTCCTTTTCTGTCCTACTTTCCAAAACCTCTCCCCATTTGCCCCTGGTAAGCCCTTTGACTTCATAGTGTGTTTGGCTGGACGTAAATTCCACTTTTCCATGGTCCAAGTCGTAAGTGGTGGGTATCATGCTTAGGTTTTCCCTTCTCTAAGATTCTCTTAAATCATTTCTGAAGTACTTTTATGGCTTCATTTCATATCTCAAATCTGTGGTCTATCCAGAATTAATTTTGTTATAGGGAAGCAGGATCCAGGTTTTTCTTTGTCAAAATGGCTAGCCAGCTGTTCCATTAAAAAGAACCCACACGCGCCCCATTAAATTTCCTTGTATTTACAATTTTCAGGCCCTCCACTGCCCTATTGTCCTTCTCCTTTTGCTAAATCACGATAGTTTACAATGCTTCATACCTGGAGGCCGTTGTTTCCTCTTCTGAGGATTTACCAGATCATTCCCCGTGTTCACTTTGCCAAAAGAACTGTGTCGAGTTAAACAATAAATCCTATCAGTGTTTTAATTGTGATTGCATTGCATGAAGGCTGACGTCTGGACAAGATTGCCTTAGGAGAACAAGGTGTGTCTGCAATAACTTGAGTCATTTCTGTCCCTCGCAGGATTATTGAACCCGACCAGCAGCAAGGGTGTGGCCACCCACCCTCACCCCAGATCCCGCCTCTGGAGTCCACCCGGCCAAGGCTCTGGGCTGGCTCTCCCACCGCCTCCTTCTCTGCTGAATGCGACCCTGTGACTCACGCCAACCTCAGCTCAGATCCACCGGGATGGTTACTAATTGCCCCGAAATCGTCCACCGTCCTTGTGCTTAAGGACAAGCAATAGTGATGTCATCTTCCGTGTGGAACTAAATGGGGTGGTTTATGGGCACTTGAAAGCAGCGTGACCTTGGGCCAGTTGCTTCTGGTCTCCAACCCCCTTCTTCCTCCTTCCTGTAAAATGCGATCTCCCTGGCTCAGGGAGGTGAGGGACCCTCCCGGCCTTCCCCCAGGCACCTACCTGCGCCCCAGCCCTGCCCAACGGCCAGCCTGCAGCGTGGGAGCCTGCAGCATGGGACGCCCACCCTGCCCCGCCACTCCCAAATCCAAGTCAGAAGTCAAAGATTTTTATTGTTCTACCGACACTTCTGAAAAGGGATCTAATTGAGAAAATAACAAAGCATTTAAGAGTTTCATCTCCAGAGAGCACCTAAGTCTGACAGGAGGTGTCGAAACCTCCTCTTCCAGGCTCAGGGCTGAGAACGGTTAGCATATCGAATGATCAGTAAAAACATGCAAAAGTGAGAAGGAAAAGGAAAAAGAGGCTGCATTCCCCCAAAGCCGAGGGGGACAGAATTTCAGAACGAGGGGGAGGCAGGGTGTACAAGTACCAGGTGGCTCTCCCTTCTCCCCACATTATCTTCCAAAACAGCTCCAAGCTCGGAGAAGGCAACGAGCCCACCCCTCGTCTCTGCTCAGCGCTCCCATCCTGTACCTGTGGCCAGGGCTGCAGGACCCTGTCCTTGTGCTCCCGGGGGGCCAGGACCCGGCCCCGGCTCCTCCCCTCTTTGGTTCCACTCGGAGAACGATTGTGCTTGACAGACTCATCCCCTGCCCTCACTCCAGGCTCCTGCTGGTGGGCTCAAGGCACTCACAGGAGTCCAGGGGAGCCCCAGGACACCCACCTGCCCTTGTGCTCTGGGTGGGCCCATCCCTGGGCACATTCCCCCATCCTCAGCCCGGATCTGGGAATCCGGATGTGGGACCGTCCAAGGAACAAGCCTTTTAGGACTTCACCAACTGTGCAGACATTTCTGAACCCCCCACCACATCCCTCCCTGTCCCCTTCCCGGGACCCCCCACCCCCGAGCCCAGCCCCTCCATCCAGCCCTTCTCCCGGGCTGCCATCGCAGGTGTGGGCGGCCCCTGGACGGCCTGACTTCAGGGTGGCGGTCACGGACTCCACCCTGGGTGCCCCCCTGCTCCCCCGGCCCCGGGAGCTCGGCGCAGGTGGGGCCTCGAGAGGTCACGGCTCTGGTACAGGGAGGCGGGCAGGGCCGGAAAGGAACCAGGAGACACGTCACATCTAGGGAAAGGCGTCCAAAGTACAAGCGAAGCAGGGGAAGGAGGAGGGCCGGAGTGGCCAGAAGAGAAAAAAGGAAGAGGGCAGGGGCGAGGCCTGGAGGGGGAGGCCCTCACACCACCCCGCAGATGAGCGTCTCCACCACGAAGGTGTTCTCGAAGTGGCGGATGGCGTTGCAGCTCTTCGCTCCTCGCTTGTTGATCCCTGGGAGGGAAGGGAGAATCTCAGTGAGGACTGGGCCCTGGCCCAGGGCTGGCGGGGTCACGGAGGCCACCTGGCCCAGAGGCCGCCCAGACTCACCCGGCCACCATCCCTGCTGTGTGGCCTCAGGGGGGTCACTTAACCTCTCTGTCCCTCGCTTCCTCATCTTTCGAGGGGCAGCGAGAATGCTGACGAGGATAACTTACACGCTCTTAGCGTGGGCACCAGGGCCTGGCGCACGGGGCGCGCGGAGTTACCGGGCGCTGCTGCTGGGGGATGGCCGTGGCTTAGGGCTCGGGGCAAGGGCCCCGGACGGGAGGGGCCGGCCACTCACGCCTCCGGGTAGCCCGGCGCCGCAGCCGGTACGTGTCCTTCCCACTGCACAGGTGGTAGATGAAGGAGCCCAGGGCCTCTTTGTCGCTGACGTGCTCGGTCACCACCATCTCCTCCTGGATGATGTACGTCTGCGGGAGGTAGGTCCCTCTCTGCGAAGGGAGCGGCCGCAGCGCTGGGTCAGTACCCGGGGTGGGAGAGGGGGGCTCTCCTGCCCCAGACTCGACCTGTCCGCACGGCCCACTCCCCTTGTTGCCGTCCTGCCCACTCAGAGTACCCCCCCGCCACACACACATGTGAAATGCCTGTCCACACCCTCCTGGGCCCCCTTCACCCAGAGGCCCCGTGGCTTGCCCTCTAGACGCCCCCAGGCGTTTTCTGGTTGTGCCAAGTGCTTGCACCCGCAGTACTGCGTGTGGGAGCCTGGTCTCCCACCCCAAGGGGGAGTGCTGCTCGTAGGGCATGGCCTGAGGGGTCAAGGAAGCTGGTCTCGGGGCTCTTCATGAGAGAGGAAGGCAGAAGTGTGGCAGGGAGAAGAAAAGGAGGCGTTGACTCGGGTGTGGGAGAAGGAAGATGGAGGAGGGGTACCAATCTGGGACACTGGGCCCAGCTGACAGCAACACCCCTGGGCACCTGTCCCCCACCCCTGACCCCCACTACAGGAACCTCCTTGCCGCAGGCCTGGCCTCCACGGGGGAGCGCAGCAAGGTGCCACGAGGGCCTCTGCTCACCTTCACATTCATGAGGAGCTCCCAGAAGTTTCGAGGGGGCAGCACGATGGTGGTGTTGAGCTCGATCACATAGCACTTGTCCAGGGAGATGTCATGGTAGGCAGTGAGTCCCTGAGCAGGAGGGGGGGCTGTGTCAGGCTCTGCAGGCAAGGGCCTGGCCCTGGGGGGCTGGGATGTGTTCAGCCAGCAGAGGCCTGAGCCCTACTGTGCCAGCATGATGCACCCCCAATTCCTATAGACGTGGGGACGACCTGGACCCTCGGCAGGAGGACCCCTAGGAAGCTCTGGGAAGCGAGCATGGGGGACACACAGCCAGGGAATCCTGTGTTTCTCTGGCCTCAAAACTGTCACTGGTGAGAGAAGTGAGAAGGATGGGGTGTCTGGGTGGCTCAGTCAGTGAGGCGTCTGCCTTTGGCTCAGGCCATGATCCCGAGGTCCTGGGATCAAGCCCCATGTCGGGCTCTCTGTTCAGTGGGGAGTCTGCTTCTCCCTCTCCCTCTACCTGTCCCCACTCATGCTCTCTCTAGTACATAAATGAAATATTAAAAAAAAGAAGTGCAAAGGATAGTTACATCTGGGTAGGGGGGGACTGGCTGGGGGGGGGCACACAGGGGAACCTTCTGGAATGCTGGCAAGATTCCAACACTTGGTCTGGATGGTGTCACACGTGGGCCTCTGGGAAAATCCACTAAGCTACGCACTTCGTGCCCTTGGTGGTAAGTATGCCACACCTCAGTAAAATGTCAACACAAAATACCCAATTACAAGGCACACTGGCCTTGCCCATGACAGCCAGTGTCTGCAAGCTGTCGGGGGCAGAGGAGAAAATCCACCACGGCTAGGTCACACTGGGTGGTAAACACTACCGATGTAACAACAGCAATGTGTGTAAAATCCTGACGAGCCTAGCTCGTGGACGTCCCCTACACATACTTGCCATCGCACAGCACATGCTCAAAGGAGGGACTAGGGGCAGTGGCATTCATTCTCCTTTGGTTCCTGTTCTCCTTTCTCGTGACCCTTGCTGCAAGAGGGGCTCTGGGCCGTCAGGACACCCTGCCACCGCTCCTGCCCCAGCCCCGGCCGGCCTCACCCGCTGGAAGTCATGGATGATGTCTGCAGGGTCACCGCCACCAAACTGGGGCACGGGCACATTGATGCGCTCGTAGTTCTCTTCGAGGTAGATCTTCACGTCCTCCTCCAGCTCCATCCGAGTGCGGGCCTGGGAGGACAGGGAGTCCTCGTAGAGAACCCCACAGTGGAAGAAGTTGTCTCGGGCCAGCTGAGCAACGTGGGGAGAGAGACACACTGGTCACGCGGCAGAGCCACCCTGCCCACCCCACCATGCCATGACCCCAAGGCCCCAGGAAGCAGGCAGGTTGGGACCATGAGACCCATTTCACAGATGGAGAAACTGAGAAATGTGGGGGCCCAGGGAGGGCGGGCCGGACGCACCAGGTCCTAGGAGGACAGCCTCCGTGGCTCTCGGGGGCAAGCACAGGAGCCCAGATCAAGCTGGCTGGGCCCTGCAGGAAGAGCAGCTGAGAGGCAGGCGGCAGTGGGAAGATTCTGGAAGCACCGCTACAGCCAGCTCCATGTCCAGCCTCACATGAGTCCCACCACCTTCCCCGGACCCCGTGAGCGACCCTGACGAACACTGTGTCCCTATCTGAACAGCCAGCCGAGTCCCCCCATCATCCAGGGCAGGGAGGCAGCGAGATGACGAGGGCCAAGCGGCTGAGCACGAGGACCAGCGTGGCCACCTGTCCTGCTCCAGGGGCTCCTCTAGGTCTGCGCGCAGACACTGGCCTGTCGTGGGCAGAATTTCCCTCTCTCGGAGTGTACGCTGTCCCAGGGGGGTGAGTCATCACACATGAATCATACTGTCCAGGGCACAGACGCAGAGGCTGCTCTGAGGTGCCCCCACCCCCCAGCGACTGGGGCGGGGTGAGGAGCCCCAAGAGAGCACCGGCTGGGGAGGGAGAACCAGGAACAAGCGGGGAGTTGGTCACGGAGGGGGAAGGCGGGGGGGGGGGGGGGGGCGAACAAAAGGGAAGTCGGCAGTTGTGTGGGAGCTGAGGTTTCCAGGGGAAAGTCACATGGAATACAAAAACTCTTCAGTAATTTCCATCATGAAAAAACTAAGTAACGATGCTAAAAACCATTGCTCGAGGGGGGGAGGAGGTCACTCAGGTCATAAATGACTGGCAAGCCTCGGCTGCTTTGTCACTCCGAAATTCCCAGCTTGTAGCACTTACGGGTATTCTTTTGGGCTTTAACAGAACTACTTTGGGGGCACCATCTCCCCCCCCCGGTCTGAACTGATGATGATGTCACTGTGACCATGACCAGCTCGGGCCCAGCCTCGTGCCCTGAGCGGCGGCTGTGTGAGCACATAACGGGTGACGGGTGCTATCACGGGTGGAGGCCACCGCTGGCAGGAGGCGGTGGTGGGGATTCTGGCCATTAACCTGCTTGCCACCTTGTTTTGTAATCCACATCCGTGTCCAAGGAATGGAAGTCCCTAAAGCATGACCCCTGGGCACAGGGTCTGGCTCTGAGAGGGTCACAAGAGTTCCAATTTCTGCCGGATCTGAGCTTCTGGGGCCAACACTCCAGGGTGACACTGTGGGAAGGGGCCATGGATGCCCATCCCAGCTCCCCCACTGTTGCCTGTGCTCCTGGGAGTTCCCTGTTGGCCCTCAGGTGTGCCTGAAGCCAGAGGTAAGGACGGTCCATCAGGGTCCGTGGGAGTCAGGGGGTGGGGTTCCAGCACCAGGCAAGGGCCTGGGCGGGCTGGCTCGTGCCCAGGGAGGCCCCAGGGAGGGAGGATGCGGGTCTTCTGGGCTTGGCTGGTCACTCACTCCCACCTGGAGGCAGGTCACCCGGCTGCCACACCTGCCGCCTCCCCGAAGTCCTCTCTAATCACTACCTTTCCCTGAGCCCCAGGCCTCCCTCCCGCCTGGCCTCACCTGTGCGAGGAAGAAGTATCTGTAGATGTAGACGGAGGCGAACACGAGGCCCATGAGCAGCACGACCATGCCCATCGACAGGTAGCACACGCCGCCCACGGAGCCCCCCTTCTTGTAGCGCTGTGGGGGGACCCGCTCCTCCTGTGGATTGCAGTGCCGGGTCAGCCCGATGCTGGTTCTGCTCCTCTGGGAATCCTCCCACCCCTTTCCCAACGTGAGACGTCCCCCTGCAGCTGGGTAGCGAGCCCTGGGACAAGTGGTGGGGGGTGGGGGGCAGTGCTGAGGCTACGTGGAGCATTATCTGGAAGGAATACCTTGCCGGGGCCTCCCCCGTTTCCTCCCAGGTAAAGATAAACTAAGACCCGCATCAAAGCCACACAGAATGACCCACTGGGATCAAGCAGGTCCATGTGGCTCACCCACTAGTTCCCTTTACTATACCGGCTGTAACTACAGTCTGTTCTCTTAAATATAGAACAGGGGAAGCACAGACATGGCCTTAGTAACTGCAGCAGACCTAGGACCTTGTAGGAACTGGAGGTGCACTGGGCAGGCTGGGAGCTGCTGCCCTGGGCATGGGGGAGCCAGGGAAGGCTTCGGATCCGCCCACAGGCTACTGTGCACACGGTGGCCTGGAACTGGGGCCATAGGAGGTGGCTTCTGGGCTCCACCAGGAAGGCTGTGGCAGGGAGTGGTCACTGGCTGAGAGACGCGGAGGCTCCAGGAAGCTCACGGGGTCTGCAGGGTCAGGGCACAGTGCTTGTCCCCCTCCAGCCAGGCAGCCCTGGGCACCGCTCAGCCTGGGCGGGGGGACAGCCACGGCCCCTCACAGGTGCACAGGTGCTGGCCGGCAGGAGTGGAACCTCAGGGCTGAAGTCTGGAGGTTTCTGGAGGCCAGGGCATTTCTGCCAGGAGGGAAACGTGGCTACGGTGGCAACAGGTGCCATCAGGGCGAGGCTTCTTGGAGAAAACCTGCTCTGGGGAGCCAGTCGGGCTCCGGACAGCAGCTGCAGGGCTGCCAAGTCACAGCAAACTGCTCCAGGGCACACGGGTCTGGAGCGGCGGATGCAGGGCTGTGTGTGCTGATCTTAGGAACATGCTTGACCCGGAGCACCAGCCCAAGTGCTGGTGATTCAGGCTCTTAACGACCTGCGTGACCTTGGCCATCTCTCAGGATTGTGCGTGTCCTCCCTCACCTGCCCTGGGACATGTGGCAAAAGCCCAGGCCTGTCTCCCGTCTCTGCTGTCTGCCGTTCTGTCCCTCCTGCATGGTGTCCACATACAGTCAGGGTGAAGTCAGAGTCCTATCCCGGAGACACCCCCCCACCCCCCCAGCCTCCAGGAGCTGAGGCAGGTGGGAGAAGGGAACGAGCTCCCGCCTGGAAGCCCGAAGCCTCTCAAGAACTGCACGTGTGCCATGAACCTCCTGCTTAGCCCCCTTTGTGCCATGTGTCCTCACTCCCTTTAACCTGGGCTGGCCTGGTGTGGTGCTCTGGTCCCTGTCCCTGAGGCCCCTTGGCTTAGAGAAAACAGGGCCCAGGCCTCAGGGAGCAAGGGGAGCACCATCAGAGGGCAAATGCCCCCCAGCCTGGGGCTCTCCCACTCACCCAGGAAGAGGACAAAAACACCCAGAGGACCCTCCCCCTCACTGGGCACATCCATCCCTAGACCAGTTAGCTCCCAGCCTCTGCACCACGGGACAGAGGTACCCCGGCCCATCCCACTCCCCAACACCCCTGTCCGCTGTCCTCCAGGGAGCTCACCCAGCAGGCTGGGAGGTCAAACCCATTGCTCCAAACTCACTAGCTGACTGCTGGGGCTCTCACCACCCCAGCCCTGCTGCGGGGCTCCTGCGATCAAGACCAGGGAGGCAAGTTTGTGAGACCACCACCCGGCTGGCATCTGCTCAGCACCCTGGGGTGCCCTAACCAAGGTCCCACAGGGACAGGTGCTGCCACAGGGGACAAGCCACCCCTGGAGATGAGGTGCTGGCTTTTCTGCTCCTCCAGAGGCCTGAGTGGGTCCCAAAGTGCGATGGCTGCCCTGGGATCGGCCAGCTGTGAATCCTGCCCGTGGGGTGGGGACACTCATACGCGTGGGAGGAGCGGTGACCCCAGGTTGAGAGGGGCTCCAGCAGGGACAGAGATCCCCTTGAGGACAGGATTGCAAGCTCCCCCCACACCTTCTCTTTTGAGAAGTGAAGACACGGGGATTAAAGGAGGAGAACCTGAGAGCCCTTTGTCAGGATGAAGTGCTAGATAAAAATAGCCGAGCTGTCTCCGCTGAACCTATTCTTTGCAGGGCCAAGGCCCTGGACAGCTGTTGAGGCTGCACACTGGCCATGCTTTTGCTCCTGCATTCAGGAAAACCGGAGAAGTAGGCTTGTGAGAACTGCTTTTCAAAAGAACAAAACAAAACAAAGTCAATGGGCCACAAGCACGAGAGCCCGAGGGCCTGCTCCGGCTCCAGGAATAAGTCCACAAACAGGGAGCGCCAATGGTTTTAAAGCAGCCTTTCCGCTCCTGGCTGGGTCAGGTGTGGGCACCTGTGGTGGCTATGTGGCCGAGGATCCCCCCACCTTTCCTAGCTGTGCAGTAGACACACCTCTCACGTGTCCGGGGCTCACACACAGCTCCCTATCCTACCACTACTGACACCCCTCCCGCCTACAGGGCCCAGACCCCAGAAGCATCATGAGCAGTGGGCTGGAAGGGAAAGCAGGACCTGAGCTTGCCAGGAGGCAGACTGGAGCCATAGATGTCCCTGCTTTGAGACAAAAGGCACTTCAGGCACCAAGCCCCACACCGGAGGGAGGGCCCCTGAATCCTGCTGCCATCGCTTACAGGGCCCCACACAACACGACAGGGAACCTGGGGGTTCCTGGCGCCCAGCTCACCCAGGACCGCGGAGAAGCCCGCTTCCTGAGCCCCCCACGCTGCTTCACTTGTGCTGGAGACCCAGGAAAATGTCAGCCCCCCCCATGGAGCAGCCAGGCATTTGGGGGGGGCTTCCATTTAGAAAGGAGGAAAACACAGCTTACTGTTTCCAAGGCAACGGGGCTTTCTGAGCAAAGCGCCTCGCTGTGCACTCGTGTGGGGCGCATGAGCCGCCGGCCGGGGACCACGAGGGGCCTGGGCCTCCCCTGCCCGCTGCACCAAGGCCCCCGACGGTGCTCATTAAATGGTTTAGCAAAGCCGGGGCCACGGCGGTCAAGGGGAGCCCAGCCAACTGGAGCATTAGCTGGGCGGACTCCCATGACTCCTGGAGGGCCCCCCCAGCTACAGTTCCTCGGTAACAATGTCCAAATTAACTGCAAGCAGATTAAACTACAATTGCAGGCTGCTGGGCGGAGGCTGGCAGGGAGCCAGAAATGCACTTGCTGCCGCCCTGGTGGGGGAGGGGCGCTCGCAGGGCCCTCCTGGGCTTCATCCCCCCTCAGCATCTTTCTTTCCCAGGCTGCGGATCAGATTCAAGGTCACCAATGCCCGTGTGTGTGTGTGTGTGTGTGTGTGTGTGTGTGTGTGTGTGTGTGCGCGCACCAGCCAGCCAGACCTAGTGGGGGTGGGAGCAGCGGGCAGAGGCCCACCGTCCACCAGCACACAGAGCTGTGTTCCCCGTACAGACAGCTGGGTGAACGGCGACAGGGAGTCCTGGGACCCCAGTCCCGTCATGTGGCTGGAGGCCTGGGCACCCACTGGGTGAAGAACAGCACGGACCCCTGAGGACTCCTGCACCACCCACTCCCCTGCATCTACTGGCTTCCTGGCGGGCAAGATGAGAGACTCGGGGGACAAAGGCTCCAACCATGGATGAGAAGCAAAGCTGGTTGCTGGAAGAGCCCTCCCGGGGGAGAGAGAGAACTTGGGAGAGGGTGTGTGTTTGGGGGGAAGTGGGGAGCCAGGCTGCACTTCCGTGATTTTACCATAAATGTTTTTTCCCCCTAAGGGGAACTCATCCTCCCCGGGAGTCCGCTCACAGCCTTGAAACAGGCAAGGTCTGGAACAGAAAAGAGAGGGAAACAGAAGAGAAAAGCCCTCGTGATGTGTTCAGAAGCCGAAGCCCCTCTGGGAAGGCCCCGGGCAGGCCAGGCATGGGCCGGCCGAAGCCCCCAGCCCGCCACCGGGGCACGATCTGGAGCAGGGCTACCTTTCCAGAAAGGTCCTTCAGCCCGGCCGGCAGGGCCAGCGGGTACTGGGGCACTGGGGCAGGAGCAGTCCCGGCCGGCCAGGTCGGCCTTCCTGGCTGGCAGGGGACCCTCCCCCAACCGGCTCCCCCACGCCCAGGGCCCGAGGCCGGGACTCGGAAAGTGAAATCTGATCCCCAGGTATGCAGGCTGGGGGAGGGGGCGACGCAGGAGCCATTAATCAAAGGCAAAGCCAAGGAGAAAATGAGCCGGTGCAGAGAGGATGGTATTGAACCTGTCTCCCGCCCCCGGGCAGCCCCACCCCCGCCGTCTGCAGCCCCCAGCCCAGCCCAGTCTGTGCAGGCCCACACCTGGCTGCGCGTGTGCGTGTGCCCACTCAGGCCCCGGCTGGCCCGCAGGCCCCCAAAGGGGAAGACCGACCTAGCTGGTGCGTGCTAGGAGGGGGTGCTTCCCGGCCAGCCCACTTTCCAGGCTGGCTTCCCGCCAGTCGGCCTTCAGCGCAGGCTTCTCAGTACCTCCGAGGCGAGCGCCAAGGGGAGGGTGGGCAGCTGGAAGCCCAGCTGGGCCCCCGCCCCCATCCCTTCGCGGCCCACTGAGGCACTTCCTTCCATCAGCAGGTCTGGGGACAGAATCTTCCTTGTGTTGGAGTTTTTGCTCAGAAGCAGGGGGAGCCCCGCTGTGAGGGTGCTGCAAAGGCCTTACCCTGGCCCCTCAGGGCCTGCACGCAGGTGGACATTTGCATCTAACAGCCACAGGGGAGCTCACTGCCGAGGGGGTGTTCACGAGGGAGGGTGTTCACGGACTCCTCTGTTCATCAGCAGGTCCTTCCAGGGCTTTATAACTAATTTTTGAGTCCAGGTCAGTAGCCAAGGAGGGTTCTTGGGTCACCCTCAGCCAGAAGAAACCTTCTAATAAGCTTTCCTCTGCGTCCCCATGGGCATGGGGCAAACCTCAGATGCTGTCTCGAGATGGGAGAAGGCTGGGCCTCCCAGTCGGCCTACCTGTCCCACCCACCTTCTCCTTCAGTGCTCTAATAGGTGGTGGCACTCTGTCTGGAGCCCGGCAACCTGCTGTGCTCACTGCCAGAGGCAGGAGAGGGGGGCTCCATCCATGCCCTAGTTACTGGACACCGGGAACGTGCCCCTCGGCCAGGTGAGGGCACAACAGGCTCAGAGCAGTGAACTCTCTTCCCCGCTCCAATTCCAGCAGGCAATTGGCAGAACCGACATGTAACATCCAAAGCCCCCTCCGTTTATCACCTCAGGGCCTCGGGGAACCATGATCATTTACTGCTATGCAGTTCTGTCCTAGGAGGTGCCAGGATTTTAATCCTCCTCCTGGGCCCCCAGTGCTCCTCCGTGCCAATTAAGACAGCTAGGGGCCCTGCCCAAACTATCGAAGGTTTGGGAGAGGAGGCCTGCTCAGCAGGCTCAAGGCCATTACAAACAGCCCCGGGAAGATGGGGAAGATGTTGATATTTCCATCTCACGCTGGGTGAGGGGGAAGAGAGGATGCTGGCTGGGTTTCAGTGCCAGAAACTGGATGTCAGTTACTGCCAAGGTGATGCTGGCATCTGCCATCCGGCCCGACACCATCAGCAGGCTGCTGCTGGAGAATGTGCCACTCCTGTGAAATTTGGTGGACCTTCTCAGAGTTTGAATTCCATCCCCCTACTGTCTTCTGCTTGAATCCTATAGTCCTCAGAGGCAGGGTCCTGAATTCCAGGCCTGAGCAGGGCGGCAGGCCTTGGGAGTAGGCTGGTTCCTTGGTGGAGGGAGGAAGGAAGCTTGAAGAGACCCTTGCAAACTTTTAAAGACCATGGTCTTCAAACATGGAATGCCCCCTGCCCATGTAAACATGGGATGAAGATGGAGCTGTTTTGGTTGGGGGTACATTGCAACCCCCACCCCCACCCCCTGACCTAGCCCAGGTGGTCCTAGGTGATGCAGTGACCACACCAGGGCAGGTGAGCTGGCCTGCAGCTCCTCGGTGCATTCCTCACTCAGGGTCTTTGCTAGAGACGTGACACCCACCTCTTGAGGCCCCTTTCCAGAGTCCCCTCTTTGGTGGCCCCAGGCCCAAGTCTTCCCCTGCAGCCCTGGTTAATACTCCGGGCAAGGTTGAATCTGAGCCACAAAACTTGGGGAGGGACCTCCGCGCTGAGGAAGACTCATAGGAAGCAAGGGGAGCAGACAAAGACTTTGGAAGTCCAGTCTCGATGGGACGGCTGGGCGCACCCCAAGACCGCCCGAGACCACGGCTACGTGGGCAGCTTTGCCGGAGCACAGGGCAGCCTGGCTGGACCAGCTCTCGCTCCCCTTCCCTCGCCTCCCTGCCCGCCACGCGTCCTGCCCTCTCCGGGTCAGACTCCACGCAGCTCAGACAGTTTTCCACTGGCGGAAATGCCTTCTCTCCCCCCGGCCGGAGGGCAGGGGGAGGCGGGGGAGGACGCCGGAGGGGGCGGGGTGCACCGAGGAGGCCCGCCCCCACAAAGAGCCTCCGGGATGCGGGAGGGCACCGGGGCAGCGGGGGAGCCTCCCCGCGGGATGCAGGGAGCTGCCCGGAGCCGGGAGAGGAAGGAAGAGCGGCGCAGGGAGGCCCAGATGGGCGCCGGCCTCATAACCTGCAACCCCGAACCTCAGACCCCGAACGCTGGACGTGCAGCCGGGCGGTTCTGGTCGCTTTCCAGTCCCTCACTTTCTGGTCCACCAATGCAGGTGGGCCTTTCAGCAGCACGGTCCCAGCCCCTCGTTTGGGACGAAGTCGCCGGCGCCTCCTCCATCGCTGGCACCGGACTCGATGCCCCCCCCCGACCCCCCGCCATTCCCCACCGAGCCTGACCCACCTCCCTACTTCGGGGAAACGCAGTCCGAGCCTCCTCCCATCCCCCAGCTGGGGCTCGACTCTCGGCCCCTCCCCCTTGATTAGAAACAGACGCAAACCCCCCACCAGCTTTCTTCCAACTTCTTCCTACCGGCCCCGTCCGCTGCCTTGGGGCCGGCCGCTTGGGGCCCCTCCAGTTTTGGAAGAGACCTCGAGCGCTTCCCCACCCGGGGACCTGCGCCCCGGACCCCTCCCACGCTTTGGACCTCTGCTGTCGGCGGCCCCAAGCCCCCTCCCACATGGGATGGAGGCCCCATTCCAGCCGCTCGGTCCCTCCGGTCACGGCTCCGGGCCCCCGATGCGCCTCGAACGGTTCCCGGGGCCCGCGGGGCGCGCGTCGCCCCCAAGAAGTGCAGCCCAAGCGCCCCCGACCCCCGGCCCCGCTTACCCGAGCCGGCGTCAGCAGGATCTCAGCGGCCGGAGCCGGGGCCGCAGCCGCGGCCGCCGCCTTGTCGGCCTTGTCGCCCTTGATGCCGGCCACGGCGGGCTGGAAGCTGATCTTCACCATGGCTGCGGCCGGCCGCGCGTCCGCCCTGCAGCCTCTGCCCGGGCAGCCTCGGGGTGTGCAGCCGCCGCTCCGCGCTCCGCAGGCACCGGAAGTTTGTCTGGTGCTCGAGTCCCTTTCCTTAGCTCCGCCCCGCCTCCGGCCAGCCCCGCCCCCGGTTCGCCCCGCCCCGCCTCCGGCCAGCCCCGCCCCCTGCTCGCCCCGCCCCTAGTCAGCCCCGCCCCCGGTTCGCCCCGCCCCACCTCCAGATCGCCCCGCCCCTCAGTCACTTCGCCCCGCCCCCCCCGCAGGAGGGGCTTGGCACTCGCCGCGCCTGCGCCCCCTTCCCGCCTCCGGATCGCGCAGTGACCCCTGCCGGGCTCGCAGCTCCGACCCGGGAGGGCTGAGGTTTGCTCACACGCTCAGTCACTCACTCAGGCAGTCGCTCGCTGGCTCACTCGCTCGCTCATTCACCCCATGCATGCATCCATCCATGCATCCATCCATGCATCCATCCATGCATCCATCCATGCATCCATCCAATCACACACGGACTCAGCCTCTTTCGCAGCCTTACCCCTTCCAGCTTCCTCTCCAAGACCAGTGTCCCCATAACACGATCTTTGTTGAAAGAATGTTTGCCAGGCAGGCAAATGCAGCTTCTAGACAAATTCCCCATCCCCCTTCCCTCCCTTCATACCCTCCTCTTTGGAAACGCTGCTGCCTTCACTGATCCTGCTCTACTCACGGCTCGCTCCTCCCACCTGTCCTGGGCCCTGGAGGAGGCTTCAAGGCCAGGTGCCGAACTGCTTGCCTGTATCCTGCATCCATCCACATCCTTCATATTCCGTCATCCTTTTTCCTTCATTTTTCATTCCTGTAGAACCTTCCTGAGGGTCTCTGGGGATGCATGCTAAGGATGCTGAGAGTAGAGAAATGAGGGCAGCCTGCGGCCTCGTTAGTGAGTGACAAGCTCTGTTGCCCGTTTCCGCCTATCAGGAGGGTCTAGTGTGGTGGGAGGACCTGCCAGGGGGTGACTGGCAGCTTGGGTTCTAGTCAAGACTCTGCTCCTGCAAAGCATCACTGATACTGTGCGGCCAGGGCTGTGTTACTGGAGTGTCTCTTGGCACCCAAACCCTGGATCTTTCCTTACTGTCCCTGGTCCAGACTGGACTGGGGACAACACCCAGCAATCCACACAGAGCCTTGGGCTGAACACCAGCTTTTGGTTCTGCAGCAGAGTTGACTGCGGAAGGCAGGGGAGTCTAACTAAGAGTTTGTTGAGGACAGCCCAAAGTCCTCCATTGACCCTTCCTACCAGTCAGGACTTGGGTGGTTGCCTTAAGTCCTAGGTGCTCTCATCCTAGACTCCAACATCCTGGTTCAGATCTTGGATGAACCTATCAGCCTTGAGGACAGATAGCTTGAGAAGGAAGATTTAACAGATGCTAAGGTTCCCACTCTGGGAAACTGGGGAGGACAGGGAAGGTGGAAGAAGGTGGTTTGAAGGCAGATGAGTTTGGTTTGGGCAACAGCCAGAGACAAAGGGGCTATGGACTCCTATTTATCGACTCTAAGAATTCCTAGTTGACTCTTGGTGTTTGGAGAAGTGAAGTCCCAGCCTTGGGTTAGATTCCCATCCAGCATCCCCAATATACATTCCTCCCTGCATGTCAAGCATTGTGTTAATCCCTGTAGCAAAAGATAGAAAGCCCTAAGATGCAACCTGGCAACCAAAGACCTTTTCACATTCAACCTTCCGCTTGCCAAATTCCCATAATGTTTATGAAATCTACCCACAATGCTTCATTCTTTTTTATTGCTGAGTAATATTCCATTTTGTTAATATACTGCAATTGTCTATCCATTCTCTTGGTTGTGCACATTGGGGTTGCTTTTGGTCTTTGGCTATAATGAATAAAGCTGCTGTGACCATATCTGTACATAGCATTTTTTGTTGACATTTGTTGTCATTTTTCTTGAGTGTCACAAAGGGTGAGGTGGGAATGGTCCACTCCAGCAGATAGGCATATTTTATCACATGACACTGTTTTGAACACATGGTGATAATATAATGTGAACCAGTGCTTAGTTGATTTGGATTTATTATTGTTTTTAAATTCTCCACAGATGCTGCACCCCCTTGCTGCCTGACCTGGGGGACACCACTCCCACCACCCTTTCCCCTACCTCAGTATACTCCAGCCTAGGAGGGGAATTTTACCATTTTCTGCTCCCACTGGCAATGTAGGAGAGTTCCAGTTGCTTCACAACTTCACCAACATTTAGTGCCGTCAGTCTAAAGTTAAGTAATCTTAGCTGATATAACAAGTTGTACTTTGTTATGGGTTTTTGTTTTGTTTTTGTTTTTAGTGAGGGAACAGGGAGAGGCAGAGGGAAAGAGGGAGAGAAAATCTTAAGCAGGCTCCTCACCCAGTGTAGAGCCCAACACGGGGCTCGATCTCATGACCCTGAGATCATGACCTGAGCCAAAATCAAGACTTGGTCGCTTAACTGACTGAGCCAGCCAGCTGCCCCCTTATTTTGGTTTTAATTTGCATTTCCCTGGTGACTAATGATGTTGAGTCCCTTTTATTATGGTATTGACCATTTGTATATCTTCTTTTGTGTAATGTCTGTTCAAGTCTTTTGGTCATTTTAGAGGTTAGATTGTCTTTTTTATTATTGCTTTGTAGGAGTTCATTGTATATTCTGGATACAAGTCCTTTGTCATACACATTTATTATGAATATTTCCTCTCAGATTGTGGCTGGTCTTTTCATTTTCTTAATTTTGTCTTATGATGAGCAGAATTTTACAGTTTTTTTTGAAATTTTTTTTGAATTTTATAGTTTTAATACAGTTTAATGTATCAATCTCTAATTTTACGGTTAGCACTTTCAGTGTTTTATCTAAAACATCTTTGCTCACCCTGAAATTGTGAAGAGATGTTAGTATGCTTTCTTCTAGAAGCTTTGTAATTTTAGGACTTATATATAGGTCTATGATTTATTTTTAGTTGTTTTTCTTAATGTATAGTGTAAGGTAGTAGTTAAGGTTTTATTTTGTTTTGTTTCTTATATGATTATCTAGATGTTCCAGGATCATTTGTTTAATGAAATAGAAACTCCATTTTCCATTGAATTGCCTTGGCACTTTTGTCAAAAGGTTGGCAGTTTCTATGTTGGCTTATGTCTGGGCTCTATTCTGTTACATTCTTCTATTTTTTTTCTATCCTTTGCCAATTCACTCTATCTTGACTGCCGTAGATTTCTAGTAAGACTTGACATCGCGCAGTGTAAAACTTTTTCTTCTTTTGCAAGATAATTTTGTCCCTTGTAGATCCATATAACCTTTAGAATTGGCATGTCAATTTCTACAAAACAAAACTTGTTAAATATAAATTGGGTCTGAGTTGAATCTAGAGATCAATTTGGGGAAAACTGATGTCTTAACAGTATTGAATTTAAATCCAGGAACATGGCATATCCCTCTGTTTGGCTCTTTAATTCTTCTCACTAATGTTTTGTAGATTTCAGTGCAGAGGTCTTGTGTATCTCTTGTTAAATTTATGCCTAAATGTTTTATGTTTTTGATGCCATTGCATTTATTATTTATGTCATCTTCCAATTCTTTATTGGTAGTATATAGACATACAATTGATTTCAAAAAATTGATCGTGTATTTTGTAAATTTATTATATTGATCTGTCCTGGTATTTTTTATAGATTGCTTGGGCTTTCTAATATATATTCATGCCATCTGAGAACAAAGACAGTTTTACTCCTTTTTCTCTTTATGCTTTTTATTGTTTTTTTCCCCCAGCCTTATTGGTTAGGACTCTAGGACAGTGTCAAATAAAAGTGTTAAGGGTAGATATCTTCATTTTGTTTCTCAAGAGGGAAAATGTTCAGTATTTTGCCATGAAGGGAATTTGGTTGTAGGTTTTTCATAGATGCCCTGTGTATTAGTTTCCCAGAGGAAACTCTGTGTGACATCACAACTTGGGTGGCTGAAAATAAGAAAGTGATTATTTCAAAGCTCTGGAAGCTCTAAGTCTAGAATCAAGGTTTCAGGGGTGCCTGGGTGGCTCAGTCGGTTAAGCATTTGACTCTTGGTTTCAGCTGAGTTCATGATCTCATGGGTTGTGGGTTGTGGGATTGAGCCCCATGTTGGGCTCTGAGCTCAGTTTGCTCGATGATTCTATCCCTCTGCCCCTCCCTCCACTCATGTCTGTGCACACTTGTGCTCTCTCTCCCAAATAAACAAAAAGATCTAAATAAATAAAATAAAGCCTTCAGTATGGTTATGCTTGCTTTTATACCTGTAGGGGATAATACTTCTTTTCTTCTAGTTTCTGGTATTGTTGGCAACCCTGGCATTACTTGACTTATAGACACATCACTCCAATCTTTGCCTCCATCATCACATGACTTTCTTCTGCCTGGGTCTCCGTTTTCACATGACACTTTCCTCCTCTTATAAGAACAATAGTCATATTGGATTAGGGCCCACCATGATGACTTCATATTAACTTGATTATATCTGAGAAGACCCTATTTCCAAATATAGTCACATAGGTTGTTAGAATTTCAACACATCTTTCTAGCGGACACAATTCAATCTGTAACATCCTTAATCATATTGAGGAAATTCTCTCTTTTCCTAGTTTGCTGAGAGTTTTAATCATGAATGGGCATTACATTAGGTCAAATACATTTTCTTCAGCTAAAGTGACCATATGAGTTTCATCTTTTATTAGAAACTGTATTAATTGACCTTTGAATATTAAAAGAGCCTTGTGTTCCTGGCATAAACCTTACTTGGTCATAATATGTTGACCTTTTCATATATTATTGGAGTCAACTGGTTGATATCTCGTTAAGCTTTTTTTTTACGTTGTTGTTTGTTTTGTTTTTTATCTATGTTAAGCCATTATGCTCTCTTTTCTTGTGATACCAGTTTTTGGTATCAGGGTTATGCTGACTTCATACAATGAATTAGGGAGTCTTTCCTCCTCCTTTTTTTTTTTCTGAGAAAGTTTAAGTGAGATTGGTGTTATTTCTTCCTTAAAATATTTGATATAATTTACCAATAAAGGCATGGGGATCTGGAATTGT